ATTTTTAAATTTTTTAAGCCACACTTTCAGTGAACTGAATGCGGATGTAATGAAGGTAATGCATTCAGGAGAGAACTATAAAAGAGCCAAGAATATAGGTGCAGGTACTGGAGAACGGAATGTGAAAAGGGAGAAATTTGAAATCCAACTCAACTCTGACTCATAGTCCTCTAGTCAATTCCGACTCATAATGACCTAAAGGACAGAGTAGAACTGCCCCTTAGGGTTTCCATGGTTATAATCTTTATGGAAGCAGATTGTCACATCTTTCTCTTCAGAAGTAGCAGGTGAGTTTGAACTTCAAATCTTTCAGTTAGCAGCTGATCACTTAACTGCTGTGCCACCAGCGCTCTGAAGTCCAACTACATGGATTTAATGTAGGCTTTGCTATTTATTACCTCTGTATCCTTGAGAATTCACTCAGTTTCTAAGCCAAATATTCTGTATCTGTAAAATGGAAAGAATTGTTGTTGCTGTTTTTCTTCTTTTGTTTTATTTTAAATGAAAGTTAAATAACATGATGCACAGAAAACAGTTCACAGAATATCAGCCACATATAAAAGTAGTCTCATAAGCTATTTTCATCATTGTTGTAGTGATTTCTTTGACTATATTAATAATGACCCCTAGCACACATTGCGTAGAAAATAAGTTTATTAAAAAGAACCAGAGATTGAGGAACAGGTCCCATGGTTACCCTTGTTAATACATTTGATGCAGCTGCCTTCATTTCCATTCTGCAACAGCAAAGTATTCAAAACATCATGAAGCACACCGTTCCAAATAAAACCACGTGTGGCCAAGGAATAGGAAAGGAATCATGAAACACTAATTATGGTATAAGGAGTCCTGGTGGCACAGTGTTAAGTGCTTGGCTGACAATGGAGAGGTTGGTGGTTCAAACCCACCAACTGGTCTGAGGGAGAAAAGATCTGGTGATCTGCTCCCATAAAGATTACAGGCTAGGTAATTCTATTGGGACTGTTCTACTCTGTTCTATATTGTCATGATGAGTTGGAATCTACTCAAAAGCACAAAACAATAATTGTATTATAGAAGCCCCTAGGTGATGCAAATGGTTAAGCTCTTGACTACTAGATGAAACTTGTCAATTCAAATCCATGTAGGGGTGCATCCAACTAGAGGTGCCTGTGGAGACAGAACTGGCAATCTGCTTCTAAAAGTTCAGCCCTTTGAAACCCTATGGAGCACATCTACACTGCAAACATGAGGTTGCCATGAGTTGGAATCAACTTTATGGCAACTAACAGCCAACAACAACAATGATAAAATGGGTGTAAGAAAGCCAATAATTTTCAGGAAAACACCATTTCAAGTTATGAGCTGTTTATATATATTTTAAACACCTACAGTGTAGCATTATTTATTATATCATTATATATATTTATAATATATATTAAAATGCTTTATATTGATCATAATTCATATTGTCTCTTCATTCTCATTTTTAAACTATATTCTAAATTTAACATCCAAAGTCTATAGTGAATAGCTTAAACAAAAATAAATAAATCTACTTATTGTACTAATATTTATTAAGGTGTTACTATGTGCTGTGCACTGAAATAGATATAAATCAACCACCAATACTCATGATGTCCATCAATCACCTAAAAACAAAGGCTCATGGAAAATAATATAAATGGAGCAGAGGTGTTCCATAAAACTGGAAGGTACAAGACCTAATCAGTAACTTTTTTCAAAGCAGAAATAGTATACATATGGTCTTGTTTTTCTTAAGTGAAAAATTAGGAAAATTTTAAAAAGCAAAAAACAAATAAACCTAATCTTACATCCATTAGTAATTATCATTAACACTTGCTGCTAATCCTTCTACCGTGCACCGGCACTCTTGCTCTTGCTCTGTCTCTCTCTTTCTGTGTATACACACATATAGTCACACACGTTCACACACGCACACACACATACACAGACAGATCATAACGTTTTTGTCTCTAACTATAACTTTGAAAATGGTTTTAATTCTGAAAATGTCATAAATATATTTCCATTTCCAGGTGTAAATGAATTCATATTGCTTTATTTAATCATTTTTTTAGTTTTAGAGTTTATGTTGATCTCATATTTCAATTTATTGAAAACACTATAATGACCATCTTTATACTCACAAGTTTGGATGTTATTTGAATGAAACCTAATCAAACGGCATGCACCTTTTAATACACTTAATTTATATTAACATATTTAATTCCAATTTTTTTTCAAAACAAACACCTTTTAAGGAGATTATATCAATCTACACTCATATGAATGGATATTTAGGAGAGGCACTTGTTTCCCTATGTCCTGGTTAGCACTGAGTGTACTTATTCTTTTTGAAATTTTCCAATACAATATTAGCAATGTTGAACATCATTTCACATATTTCTTTTGCATAGTTCTTCAGTGAGTCATTCTGTGACTTAGTTACTCATGCCATTTATCCAAGATTCAAAATTTTAGTTTTATTTATTTTTAATTAGGGTATGGCGAAGTTATTCATCATTCTCTTTTTGAAAAATCACCCTTTGTTAAGGAGATTAACATTTTGTGACAGCTTTTTCTACACTGCTTGCTTTTGATTTTATGTTGTTATATTTCCACAGTGCTATTTTAAACATCTATGTGTTTAAAATGAACTTTTTTCTTTAAATAATTTTGTTTGGACATTTTCTTAATATCTTTCCCAACCTCCAAGTTTATTAAATAAGTTTCCATGTATATTTCCACATTATTATATGTATATTCATATTTATCTGATCTGGATATTGTTTGGTTGTAATATATCAGGAAAGGTTATAAGTAAATCCCCACCCAGATCTCACTATAGATGACTCTCCCACTGGATGTGAAATGTGAACTCCGTCGTATATTTCTCTCCCACGTGTAATTGTATCAGTTTTGGACACCATTTTCTCTTTTGTTAGGTTTTATGCAGGAGAAAGATGTGGAAGTCTGCTTCTGAAAGATTTACAACCTTGAAAACCCTAAGAGGCAGTTCTACTCTGCCCGATATGGTTGCTGTGAGTTGAAATTGACTTGACCTCAGGGGGTTTTGGGGTTGGGTTATGTATTTACTCTTTTACTGAAGCTTTAGAATGCATGGTAATATCTGTTAGAGTAAGTCATCCCTCATTACAATTTTATTTTTCAAAAATCATTTTGATTATTCTCATAGATCCATCCTTTAATTATAAAATGATTAACTTTAAAATAATTTTGCCAGTTCTCCTGCTCCAACTTCCAGGCTCCTGTATTCTCTGGTTGGAACATTGATAGGTAATTGTATTGCATTTAGAAAGTAATTCAGACAGAACTGACAAATTCTACTATTATTATTAAGTCTTCCCATCACCTCTCTGTGTTCTTTCCTATTCTTTTATTTTTTGGATATTCTTCAGGAAAGATTCTTGCTTTCTTTATACTCTTTAAGTTGTTAATATTTCTTAAGCATTTCACATTTAGGTTCTCCTATTTCTTTATGTTTCCTCAGTAATTATTGTTGGCATGAATGAAGTTATTCATCATGGTAATTATAATTTCAGACAAGATCTTATTAGAAATGATGGTAATTTTACAAAATATCATGGATTTCAAATAAATAAAGTGGGAAGGTGTGACTCTGTCTATGGCAAACAATTAATGTGTGGAGTATATTAGTGTGCTTACCCTACTATAATTGTCTAAATCTATTACTATCTTCTTAGTCTCTGCTTTATCCAACACTAAGCTGGAATATTATTAAAGGGGAATGGAATTTTTTTAAGTTAATGTTTTCTTCTGTGATATATATATATATATATATATATATATACACACACACATACATATATATATGTATGTGTGTGTGTATATATATACATATACATATATATAATTATATATTCTGTATATATGTGTGGGAGCTTTGGTGGCATAGTGCCTAAGACATTTGACTGCTAACCAGAAGGCTGGCGGTTCAAACCCACCAGCCACTCCTCCAAAGGAAGATTGGGCAATCTACTTCCACAGAGATACTGCCTCGGAAACTCAAGGAGGGGTCGCTATGTGTCAGATCTGACCCAATGGCAGTGTATTGCATTGCGTTTGTGTTGAATATATGTGTGGGAGCTATGGTGGCATATATGTATGTGTGTGTATAGCTTGGTTGTAGTCTATTACATAAAGAAAACAATATATTGACATTTTCAACACTTGTTATATGAAACTACTAAATGAATAAAATTTTATTTGTTAAGTGGAATTAACAAATCTTAAATTTTAATCGTTTAATGTAAAAGAAATTTATTTATTTATATCACACATATTTTCACTGTATCTGTATTTTCCCTGTATTTTAGATCAGCAAAGCAAGTGGTCCTTCTTGGAAAATGACCCTGCTAAATGTTTGCCATCTTGTAAATAACCTGAACATCCAAGCTGAGGAAACAGGAGAGGTTCCTGAGGAGGAGCTTATTACAAGAAAGAAATTTCCCACTGCTTTAGATGGCTTTAGCTTGGAAGCAATGTTGACAATATACCAGCTCCAAAAAATCTGTCACAGCAGGGCTTTTCAACACTGGGAGGTAAAACAAGAGCAAAAATGAATATAATTTGTCTGTACTGTGTTATCTCTGATTTGTAATGAATTGTGTTATCCTGATAATGATCATAACAGGAAGACTTACAAATATTAGGGAAGAAGAAACAATGTGTTGAGCTTAACATTCCTTCATATCCTCAAAGTGTGCTTCAAATATTTGGAGTTTAGCAAAATATTTTCCTTTAATCTTAAAAGAGGGATATATTTTAAGGCAGATTTGATCCATATGCTTTTATTATGCTTAAATGGATAGTGTGCTTAGTTTTCTGTTGTTGGTGGTGGTGGGGCATGTCTAAGAAATTTCAGGAACTCAAAAATGTTTTCATAGAAATATGAAGTTATGTGTGTTCATCTATAACATCTATAACAGGAGCAGTTCCAATTGGGCTTGAAAATATTAGGCAAATAAAACTTATGTGGTAAGGTTTTATATATATATATATGTAAAACTAATTGCCGTCGAGTTGGATCTGACTCTGACTCATAGAGACCCCTCCTTGGGTTTCTGAGGCAGTATCTCTGTGGAAGTAGATTGCCCAAGCTTCCTTCGGAGGAGTGGCTGGTGGGCTTGAACCTCCAGCCTTCTGGTTAGCAGTAAAATGCATTAGGCACTATGCCACCAGAACTTCTATATATAGAGATAGATAGATAGATAGATATGTCTATATCAACATTGAAATAGGAATATATAGATAGATATGTCTATATCTCTCTATCTATATATTCCTATTTCAAAAAGTGTCAATTATTTCTGGCGTCTTTCACCACTGAACTAGATCCACCTCAGTAAAATTCATTATACAAACTACTGTGAAAGACTGGATAACTCAGTTGTGTTAAATACTACTCTAGTGATTTACTACCTTCAATTTAAGAATGCTTGTTCAGGAAGTTTTAAAAATATCTAAATGATGAAATGTAACTTGTGCCAGTTAATGCACAAGCTAATTCTTTAGACTTAGAAGCTTATTTGAAAGCAATGAATAGCTTTGCCCTGGATTTACACAATCTGAATGTCTAAGATCAAATTTATGAATAGAGTAGTGAAAGAATTTAGAACATTCTACTTCTATCCTAATGGGTATCTATAGTCACCAATGTTATATTTATCCAAATCTCAATGGCACTTGCCATTGAGATATTCTAAAATAGATATTTTGAACTCTCTGGACACATAATTTAAATGCTCACATATATGATACCATCTTTTAAGTATCTAGAGTGTATGTTCCATTCTTTACATACTAGCTCTAACTCCACCCTTGTGTCTCCTACTGGAAAAAAAATAAGCGTGGAATAACTGAAGGCATAATTTTAAATATGCTTTAACGTTTTTAAAAGCACAAGTTATTTGCAAAATTTATTAAATTAACTATTATTAGCAATGATATATTTCCAAAAGGCTATGAATTTTATTGCCTTAGTTAATATATGTTTTTCTAAAAGATAAATTAGAGCTTTAGAAGGATACAGAAAAATATTTGTGTTAAAAAAAAAGTTGAAAATAAAGAATAATGCTTAGAGGAAAAAAAAAAAAGCAGAAGAGATGTCTAACTGTTCCCATCCAGAGCAATATTTCTTCCACATTAATCTCTGAAAAAAATATTGTCATATTTTGTGTTCTGTTTTTGTTCCAGCTTTAGAGATCTGACTGTATCTTCCTTGCAAATATAGCAATTTCTGTGATAGACTACCAGAGACACCCTGTGAAAAGAGGAAATGCAAAACACAACATTTAGTATTTAACTTGTAAACAACAACAACAAAAGACATTTTCAAGATGAAGAACTAAAAAAGCCAATTTTAATTTTATTTTCTGGACTATTTATCCTTTATTTCCAATATCATGTAAATGAGTTAGTCTTTAGAATTATGTTTCAGTCAATAAAACTTTAATAAATTTTGACATCGATCAATGGTAGTCATCTGCTATTTATCCAGAAACAAACACTCTCCCCCCCAAAAAAAACTTTAAAAACCATCATGCAAACAAAGCAAATGTGTATAAGTTTTGATCTTCTGATATCTTAACTATATTTGTTGTTTGTTGTTATGTGCCCTCAAGTCTGACCCGACTCATAGTGACCCCTCCTTGGGTTTCCAAGGTGGTATCACTACAGAAGTAGATTGCCCAATCTTCCTTCTGAGGATTGGCTAGTGGGTTTGAACCACCAGCCTTCTGGTTAGCAGTCAAGTGCCTTAGACACTACACTACCAGAGCTATATTTAGAGATTTAAAAATGAAAAGATAACATTGTTCAAGTGTAGTACAAGTAATTACAGACTATGCACAGAGAAGATTAAGAAACTCAATTTTTCTGACAGCTATTTTCCTTCTCTGAAAGTGAATAGCTGTGGGTTGAAATAAAGTACTTGGTGATATGATTTAATGCATAATTTAAAACACATTCAGTCTCCTATTCATATTATAGTAACCTGTAGTTTCAAAACCAACCACAAATATGAATAAAGATGTTATTTTGAGTATACATTTTTTTAAAAATCATGTAAATTATGTGTATAACTCTGGAAAGAGTTCTTAAATATCTTCTGCTAGCTGAAAATTTTGACTCACAACAGTTTATCAGAAAAGAAGTATTGATAATTAATTTTGCAAAGGATATATTTAATAACATTTTGGCAAGCTTCTACATAGAGATCGATTCCTTGAGTTATTCATTCTGAACTTGTTCTTAATTATTACAGGAATTTACCAACTGCTACCACCAAAAGAGATCTTTACTATTTAAACCAAGATTTCACATACGCTTGATTTCTACAACTGAGTAATTTAGAGAGAGCAGGCATTTCTCTCTTTCTGATTGAGATTTGAAGCCTTGGAATGGCCTTCATGTCAAGTCTGTAATTTACTTAATTGGATATAGGATCCTGTTTGCATTTGCAGCCAAACTTGGTTTTTTGGATTCAAGAGTATAGAGTTGTTTTTACCATGTTTCCATACCATTTTGGAGTCTCCATCTTAAGTTGAAGCCTACAAACTATTCAATGGTCTATTTGCTGTGCTTTTGCATTTAGAGGAATAAGCGTAAATTTGCATCCTATTTCAATGATTTTCTAGGCATGTATCCATCTACAAAACACTTAATATTGTTGATCCTCTTATATCTATCTGATCCACGTATATCCAGTCTGAACATCAGATGAAATACAATGTAGAAAATGCTCTGAAACTTAAGACTTTGTGCATGTAAGATTCATTTAAATTCTATCTATCTTGCAGTTAATCCGGGATGATGTTCTTGATACTGAAAATGACAACAATGAGAAGGAAGAAGTTATAAAGAGGAAAATGCCTTACATTCTGAAACGGCAACTATATGAAAATAAACCTAGAAGACCATACATTCTCAAAAGGGCTTCTTACTACTACTGAAAGGAGTAAACATTTTATTTACTTGTAACTGTAATGTATGATCCTTTAATTAAATATCAAATTACATATTTGTGAAAATGTGACAGAACACAGTTACTTTGTGTCTTCTAAAATTGTGGTTTATTAGATGTGATTTTTCTGCATTCATATGAATTGGACTAAATGTTTTCAAATAAATCTAGATATTAAGCATGATATGTTGTGTATAACTGGAGTATATATTAATTAACTTACGTACAGAGTGTTTTTCAGTTTTGCCAAATAATTAATGGGTGTCTTAAACAGTTAAAATATTTGACATATTTAAGAAATAATAAGAGATTATAACAAAATCATACAGCAAAGTCTAGCCTACATTCTATTAACCAAAAGTATAGTAATCCATTTCTCATTATTTGACTGTTTTATTAAATTGAGAAAAATGCACCTTCTCTTCCCAAACCCACTCATTGTGATTCTCTCAGACATGGGGATGGTAATAGGAACCACTTTTACTCATGCTTAATTTAATAAATGATTTTCAACTAAATTTGCTTTCTGTTAAATAAACTTAATAGCACATTAAAAGAAAAAAAGCCAACAAAACCACGTTTCCCCACTTAAAAATTCTAATTATTACCTTATATTGACTTTTTGTTTCTTTTGTTTTCCCCACTCTGATCAGGGAATGATAGCTTTATTTGCAACTTCATTGACTACTTGTGTGACCATTTTCCCCTAGTGGGAGGTCATGTTTGAGACAAAAAAAAAAAAAAATATTTGAAATAACTCCTCCTAAATTTCCTTTACGACCATACTTATGGTACCAAGCCTTTATAGGTTTTACATTCCACTTTCTAAGCTCTCATTCTTAAAAGTTCTGGGAAGAATTCTCTTCATGGGGCTGTGGCTTAACCCCTAGTCATTTATGAAGGAAAAATCAGGCTTTGGGATTCCATATTCCTTTGACAAGATTACTCTCCTCTAGGCTCAACACTTCTCACAGTGAGATTTAAGAGCAGATCAGAGATCTCTAAATTTTTCTGGTAAAAAATCGTTTCTCAAAACCAGTTCATTCCACTGTCTTTCATCATCTCTCTAACTTCAACAATAAAAGTACTCAAGAAATTAAGCACTTAAAATTGTGTTGTCTGGACACAGAATGCCAAGATTCAGCTTCGCTTACTCACTAACAATCTTAAACAAACTATTTAAACTCTGTTCCCTCAGCTGTAAAATAAGGATAACGGTATTTGAGAAGGATGGAATGGGCTGATATAAGTTAAACGCTTAGAATAGTGCTGGGAGCATATTAATGACACACTAAATTTACTAATTATTTGTTATTATTATTACTGACTATCCTGTAAGAAAATATTCCATCATATGACTTTATTTCTTTATTCAACAGAATATCATACCTCCATGGTCATACATTATAAACCAAACTCTATTCTAAACCAATATCTATTCTTTTCCAGCCCTCCAACAAACTCCTTCCATTCATTCCACCTAACACTCTCAGCCACTACTTCCCAACAGCTCTTTCAGATAGTGGCTGCCTTTTCCTCCACAACACATAATACAGTGTCTATAAGACGGATAGATTTTCTTCTGGCTACTTCTAGACCATTTTCCCTCTCACCTTCCAACACTTGGGCTTATTTGAAATGCAGACTATATAGATAATTTCCGCTATCACCCCTCTGTTTTGAACAACTATTGATGTCCTGGTTATTTGTCTCAATCATTATACTTGAGTATTTTCACACCCCATATAAGAACTATCAAATAATCCCATCTCACCTCATCTCAGTCCCTTGATTTATTTACTCCTAATCATCATTTTGTTATTGTTGTTATCAATTTCACCTCAACCAATCACTTCCATGGTTATTCCATAAAATTTTTCAGTGCCAATAAATCACTCTCTCAAAAAGCTCAATGTTGAATATTCTGCTATCTAAAGAGCACCTTTTCTTTCCAGTTTGCATAATCTATTACTCTTACTCCAACATTTATGATCTAATAGAATTCCATTACCTCATTTGTTTTCACTCTTCATCTCCTTCTCATACTCTGACTTTCCTATTCATTTGACTGAGACTTGATGGTCCAAACTTTAAATCACTCTTTTGTTATCCTTAATTTCCTGTCCTCCTATCACATATGACCCATATGATTCTATCTCAATGGTTAATACACCATTGATTACACTAAAATCTCTCTCCTGATTTTTACCCCACCTTAGAATCTGAACATGGCTAGAGAAAAATACCCAATTTAAGTATGCTCAAGAATCATACTTAGTACATGTAGTCAAAAGTCTCAAGTGGACCTTCAGTGCTGCCCCTGTTCCTA